GCCAGGATTAGCTCTGCACCCGTCTGCAATGCCGAAATGTGTGATACTGTGGTGAATGTGTGTGTGTGTGTGTGTGTGCGAGGAGAGAGATGATGATGACGATGGGGATGGAAAGATCGTGCGCACGCGGTACTTGCTGGAGAAAACCTGGAAAACGCTATAATTTTCCTCCAGACAGGGTTGAATGTGTTCCAGCTAGTATAAAAATCTGCTACCATGGAGACTCGACAGCTAGGACCTGCCGGTCAAAGATGTTGCTGATGAGCTATCGCTGCCTGTTTGCTGACTGGATTTATACGGCGAATAGTACGCAACATTTGTGTGGATCGTTTTTGTATAAGTAACAGAAGGTGCTCGTGTAAAGGCGGAGTTCTCGTAAATTTGATGACATTGCGTGACAGCTGGTAGTGGCGGTGTCTGAATTAAGAGTAGACGAACAAATAAATGAATATTTATAATTAATTATGCAATGAATATATATATATATATATATTTATATATTATTTAATTGAGAAAAATGTTTCAAAACAACCAATGAGACTTTTTGAGCTTCTAGGTTGCGTTTTTTGTGTACATGAATCTTATTTACAATCATATTATTATTAAAAACTTCTACATCGTAATTTCCTATTACCTGCGATTTTATTGTAAAATTTGAACACATGGAACAAAAAAACACTTTTCTTTTTGCTTATTATGAAGAATATGTTGCCAAGAGAATTTGTTTCATATTGGACGTCTCTATAAGCAATAAAAAAAATAAAAACCGTTCGTTTTGAAACCACGGAAGAATGTAACACGATTTGAATGATATCTGGTGGTAAAATACGGCAGTTTTCGCAGCGCGTAATTCGGCAGCTTCAGTTAGTTGGAATTGGGGGTGAGGAAGTTTGAGAGATTTTGGAGTTTGGCGAAATTCATCAACACCAGGTAGGCCTCTCTCAACTGATTTCAATTGGTATCTCGGGAAAAAATAAAAACTTTTTTTTTATTAATGAGAGGGTTTCCAGAGAAATATAGTGGGAAAATCTATAAAAAAAGGAAACCTTAAAATGTAAGAAAAACCAATTTGCTTTGAACAATTATAAATGTTGGGCTTTTTGTTCCCTAGTAAGTCAAGTGTTTAATATTTATTATCCAGTCACTTATTTACTGGTTATCACTAGTATTAATATAAAAGTATAAACTTTGAACAAATTAAATTTCCTTCATCTGTATCGTTCATATGGACTTTTTAATGAAAGTTAGTAAATTAGTAAATGTTCCCGTTCTATTTTCCGGAGAAATTCAGACTTTTGAGAAACTTGTGAAAGATGACGATGTCATCATGTTGTACGTAAACAGGATCAGGAATGGAAAGTTTGGGATAATGTGAGACCTTAGAAGAAGGGAAGGTAAATAGTTGATTGTGTTGTGAAGAAACAGCAGAATTATAATTGCGAATAATATTGTATCAAGAAATACGACTGGCTGATGTGTCTGAAAGGAATTGATTTGAAGCACATACAAATTTTCACGTATTCAACTCCAAAAGTGCCGCCAGTCTTATGACAATTTTTCGGGCTTCTGAATGTTACTACCAGTTAATCGTGAAAGACACGCGATACGCGTGAACTCATAAAATCCAAGCGTATCTTTTCCATTATTCGTCCTCATTCGTTTTGTCTGTGTTGTAGAAACCTGTTGAGATAAGACTGTTGACACTTTAGGTTCCTGACAAATTGCTCTGCACTAAAAACTAATTATCTACTTAAGTCTGATCAGTCAATCGCGTTTCTTTATTGAGAGTGCTCTCACTCTCACTCTCTTGGCGGCCTTCTCTTCTCTTAGCATTATCTCCTATTTTCTTGTATTCAAATTTTTACCATATATTAACATCTCTGAACGTATATTGAATACTTATCAAGTGATTTTTCTCTACGATATCTGAAGTAGTACTGGCAATAATGACTACTAACGTAATGTTCGATCCAATTTTGCTAATATGCTAGGAATTTGACTGGGCACTGACTTTCAAGATTATATTAGTTATATTAGTAAACGTTTGATTTCAAGTGCAATAATGCTCAGATAACATTTTCTCTATATTTTTTAACTACAAGCTTAATGAAAAACTATTATTTGTATAGGTAAGTTGTTGAAATTGCATCAACTTAGGAGCTTCCATGGCAAGTTGTGAGTATACAGAGAAAAAACCGAAATTATTCAACAGTATTGTTTGAGAACTGTGCCTTTGCTCGACAACCACATTTACCGTTGGTTTGCCAGCTAGGTCGAATTCAATCGCTGTCTGGAGAAGAATTCTAGCGGCCAGTTGCTCTGGTCGGTAGTATTCCGTGGTTTCTCCGATCAACACCAGGCGAATGCCAGTGCAATTCCCTATCAAATGGGCCACGGACCGCGCGCGATCTTCCCTTCCTTGTTCAATCCCCGCTCTTTACACACACACTTTACCACACATGCCGGGAGTCCAGTCGGGAGCTTAGAGCTTGTCGCGGCTGGGACGATGCCCAGCTGGTGGGAGATACCTGGTTTGGGAAACCCTATTAGCAGACGGTAGGTCGGCACCGGATGTCACAATCCAGCGGAGGAAGATCACCGTCTCCTTCCGAAGAAATAATGTGCACTGCACTTACTGGACTAATGTCCTGAGTAGTTGACGTGCCTGGAATCACTATCAATCAGTCAATCAATTTAGCAGAAATGTGCAGTATTTATGGTACTCGATTTTGATAACATCGTTTGTTAAAGTAAGAAATGAAATGATCAATAAATTATTTTGAGAAATGGAAAGTTAAGCGAAGCGAACACTAAATACCATCGTTTCCAAGACGGTCAGATATAATTTAAGTCAATAAAAGTCGCTTGAACTTTACAGCTACATCAGCCATTTATTTCTGCAGCCATTCTCTTGATATTTTATTGTTTCGGCACATTTATGACTTCCATCTTCTCGTAAAGCAAATTATGCAGTGTGAAAGTCTCTGTACCATGGAGTGACAGCTACAGTTCTATCGATCATGAGTTGCCATGCTGTTTCGCGAATTCACTACTCACAACTGCTAGGGCACCAATTAATTCATTAATTCAATTTCCCTCGCAATTAATCTTTCAAAACAAGGGTTTAGTAATGATAAAATTATAAATCTGACATTAATATAGGGTGAGGTATTTCAGATGGAAAAAATGAACGAGCGTCTTCCTCATAATTTTGAATAAATAATTCCTTAGCCATTTTCGTCTGAAAGGCATAGATTAACGTAGAAAAGGTATTTTTGTAATTTTCTTAAATTTTCTTTTGCGGTTTGTGTCACCGGAAGCTTTTGCGTATTTCCAAGTCACGAAGTGCTTTTGTGAACTCGGGAGGTCATTTGCGAACAACGAGTGCACCGCAATTCTGAGGATCACATGGCAAAGTCATACGCGATCCAAGTACACGATACAAGACTGTTGTAATAGGATCAAGTGACAATCAGTCAATCCACAAATTTACGTTTTTCATCATTTGTAATTATTTGAATTAATTTCGTAAAAAATGTATGAATTGTATGTGATGTATGAAGGAGAAGAATAATCTGCTCATGTTTTCTTGAGCTCCAGAATCCCTTCCTCTCCTTTTTAATATAGATAGTAGACAACGGTATAAAAGTATCTACGTTTCGTAGAGTTTTTAGTGAGACGAAGTTATTATTTTGAAATTTGTGTCATTCCATCTACAACAAATATTGTAGAAAAACATTTTGTTAGGTTACTGTTTGTTGTCACATTCATACAACTTTTATATCATAAATGCTTGCTTGTTTTTAAAATTTTAAAGTCATAAATGTCCAATTCCAAACAATGATAAATTAATTTACTTTAAATAATTGTGTTTATTGTGATATGTTTTATTCTTCTGACTACTTTCATCCTGCTTTTAACCCATTTTTACAACAATTTGTTTATACCGGCATTTTTATTGACAGTAAAATCGTACCTCTACATACATTACACGGAAGTGAATATTTCTTGTTATCGAATTGTCCCCAAATCATACATTGCTATTTTAGTCACAACTCAAGTTAATGTTGTATAAGAACGAGGGTAGAGTTTAGTAGAGCAGAGGGTAGAACACAAATTGCATTTTTCTCCTCAAACACAACTAATCCCTTCAATTCTAACAGTACTTAACAATTCAACCTTATTGCCAATGTAACGAAAAATATCGGAATTCATTAAACAATTACTCTTGCCAATCCAAAATCCCTCTTCTCATAGTTTTAACTGTTTTCATAACTAAATAAAAATAAATTATTATTAAGCAATTTCCGCTTCTTGCATTCCATGTATCTTCGAACACACGAACTGACACTGATTCTGTGAAAGTGGTGTTATGAAAATGTTTGTACTTTCTCTAGGTATGTTCTCTTATCTATCATGAAATGAACAGATGTTACCTTTCACTTTAGGCCCAGCTGAGAATTGCTTATGAGTTATAAGTTATAACGTTTGGCTTGTCCATGAGAGTCCATGAGAAACACCGTCAAAATAATTGGAACTCTTCTGCAAACACCCAACGTTTTCCATCAACATTCTAAGAAGCCACAGCTAGAGTTCGGATTGATATAATTACAATTTTTGTCGTTCTATGAATAGTTCTCAAAATTGTGATGTGGAGAAATTGTTGTAATCCTAACATGATATCCAAATTATTCGTTACATCGTTATATATATATATATATATATATATATATATATATATATATATATATCTTCATCATCAATCAGCAAGCATCAAAATGTAATTTCCATATGTATAAACACTGTATGGAATCAGCTATATATTGTACAATATTACGTCTTTTTACAAATTTAGTACTGTATTACATACTTTACATATTTTGCTATTATCTTACATCAATAAAAATCCTCTACCAATGTTCTAGACGTTATTTTCCAAATACATTTGATTAATTTTCAAATCAATAGTTTTCATTTAAAAATGGGTTTGTCTTACACAGTTTGTCTTACACGCTGCCGACGCGGCCGGATGTACGCGTTCTGTTTGGATTACTTCAGTTTGCTCTGCCCTACTTATCTCTTCCTCGACAATGCGCAACAGCGCTCAGAGTATTGGCCTCTACATAGGTGTGGAAAGTCTCAGTGACGTGTTTTTTGAACTTGATCGCAAGTTCTCGAGAAAATATTGTTTATCGCAAATGTTGACCCCTCGAGTAGAATACCACAGTAATTCTCTGCTGGTCATTGAACTCCCACGTTGTACCATTCCTCGTTGTTGCTAATGTTTGAAAAAGTACTCTTCAAAAAACTGAAATATAGGTGGCAAACAGTTTTTATTTTTTAAATGGTTTAATACATATTTTTTTACCGTAATTAGAAATTGTAACATTTGTTTGTTTGAAAATATATTATAAGGGTACTTGTGCAGAAACTAGTATACTAAATCTTTTCTGTGATTTTTGATCTTGCATTTTACGTTTTTTACCTATTTGCTACAATGTTCTTACAGTTTTCTTTACTTATTTGTGTACATATTTTTCCATTTCCTACTACATATTTTCCGGTCTCTGGTCATAACAGAACATTCTGCGATTCCTATTCTTTTTGAAATGACACTAAGCAGTGGAAAGCCAGCCCTATCACTCAAAGAAGCGTATTTCGTGGATTCAATAAACGCGTGTAGTACAAATCTTTTCACCTTGTGACTGATATATAGAAAGCCTGTCAGTTACGGGTACATGGTGACTAACTCCGCTTCATAGCAATGAAATAATAGGAAAAGGTATTAAAATGAAAAATGAAAAAAGCAAAACAAGATAAAGATGAAGAAGAAAAACAAACATGTGTGTGGAAAGAAAAGAAGCGAAAAATAAAAAAAAATAAAATGAGGAAATGAAAAGCAGAAAGAAAAAGAAAAAAAGGAGAGAGAGGATGAGAACGAAAATAAGCAAAATATAGGGAAACATAAATTAGGAAAAGTATGGCGTATTAAGAGAAGAAGCGGAAGCAAAATATCATCTAGGAGGAACGTATGAAAAAAGAATGGAGGGGAACAATTAGAAAGAAAAAGTATGAGAGAAAGAAGAAGAAGAAAATAATGATGATGATTTCGGCAAAGAGAAAGCATGGACAATGAAACGGATAAGAAGAAAAAATGGGATATAATTGAGGAGATATAGATATAGAAATAAAAGAAAACAAATGAGAAACAAGAAGTAGAAACAAGAAATAGAACAAGTCTCTCATCAGAGGTCTTACCAACACCTCATCGACCTGCCTGCTTCCCCTCCACTCACCACCAATCTCCCGCCAAAGCGCGCGGCGCGCCGCCAGCCGGCAGCAGCCCCAGCGGCGACGACGGGGTCCCGCGAGAGTGTTGGCAACACTGCGCTCACCTGCGCGTGCCGCCGCCGCCGCCGCCATCCTCGCAGGTCGGCGCGCCGTGGCCACCGCTGCCGCCGCCGCCGCCATCGCCACCGCGCCAGCCCCGCGCCTGCTAGTGCGTGCTCGGCCGTACGCCCGAACGCTGCTTCTCCCGGCCGCGGGATCTCGCGAGGAACAGACGACACTCGACACGACGTCGCCGGCGGCGGCGGCCGACCGACGACGACAACAAACGACAGTCAACAAACAGGCGACGAACGTCAACCGCCCGCCGACGTTCGACTGTTCGACGCGGCTCCCTCGTTTACATCCGTCCGCGCAACAGGTGTGTGTGTGTGTGTGAGGACTCATACATCGACCTGCCGCTTCGTAGTCTATCACCGCGTCTCGCGTCGGGAGCGGAGACATCAATGAACGAGTAAGCTGCGAGACCGTTCTGCCAACAATACTTCCGTCCGCCGGCGCGAGCTTCATTGTTGTTCGTCGGGTGTTGTGAATCGCTTGTGTGTGTCGTGTGTGAACGTCCACTTCAGACCGGAAGCTGTAACGCAACAATTCATTCAAGGCGGCTTCGTGTGTTTCATTGTTGGTGCGTGAAACATATCGCTTCGCCGTGTTGGAAGCTGAATTGGTGATCGGAATTTTTGAAACAAGTGAGTGCTGGCTCGGAAGTTTTCGCGGATTCATCAGTGTACAACCATTGGCCTGGCAAGTCACCCACGGCCCCGTCCCGCCGGAATTTTCCCTCCGGGAGAGATTCGTGAAACGTTTATTTATATAAACAATTGTGTGCGACGAGTGATCAGCCAGCCGTGTTTCCGACGCTTCGTAAGGATTGTACTCGCTATCCACGAGCTGTGATTTCTCCCGGGAATTCAAACGCTCGTGATGTAACGGTCAGCTTATACAACGCCGCACTGCCGCACCGCTGCCGCTTGCCACCGCCGCAGTCACCGCCGCCGTCGCCTCCGCTGCATACCTCTGCCGTGGACCCGCAGCCTCCTCCTCCTCCTCCTCCTTCGCTGCAGTCTCGGCCTTCTGGGAACGACTCGCCGGCTCGGGTTCCTGTGCCGCGCCGTCCACAAACCCACATCCCACTGATCCACTTGAAAGTGCGTGGGAGTCAGTACCCGCTGTGTGAACGAAACCCGACTCCTCTTAACATCTACAGAAACATTATTTCCGGGAAGAAGTCGTCACGAAATAGTTTCAAAGTTCGCATAAAATAATACGTAAACATTCTATAACGTTATCTTATCACTGATTCAACGTTGTCAACACAACTGCGATTTTGAATCTTTCTCTGTAACAGCAGATCTAATTAATTGCTTTCAAAGTGTTGAAGTCACCCCATTCGTAAAACGCAGTTTCCTACAGAAAAATACAAGGTCACTGTGATTTTTTGCGGCCTTTTCCTTCCGTATTTCATGAAAAAAGTGAGTCATTAAATTCCACCAAGAAAAAGTTAATTGACTGTACTTACACGAAACATAACAGAAATTCTGGCACGGCGCAATAAAATAGCGATCGAGAGGTTTCATATATGTGAAAGCTCAGAACGGGGTGTCGAACATCAGATTCCATGCAGAGAAAGTTCAAACGACGAATGATCATTCCTTGTGTGTGTACGAGTTTCTACATAGCTTCGTTTCATCCCCTTGTGTCTGTCGGCGTGTAGTGTATGCTGCTCGATGTTCGTGAGATTGTTTTTTTGTTCTTCTGTATGTTCGTGAGTTTGCTGGCAGTGAAAGCAGCGACACTGCAGTAGAGAGTATCAAGTTTCCGGCTTGCAACGCCCCGCACAACTTTTCCTGGAAAAGCGTCGCCCACCCGAGGAAAAGCTGGAGTCAAGTGCTCATCAAAACCGGATTCGAACCGAGAAATGCTAGCACCGTGAAACCTACATACCAACTCCTTCGTGTGCGCACACGAGTATTCTCAAGATTCTTGCGTAATTCCGCAAACTGGTAGCCAGCCTTTCTAAGGCTCCATTCACTGTTTTATTGAAAACCACTTCACATTTACGGTAACCTCCACCCGCTCGCTGTGTGAACCATTTTGCTTGAAAAACATGAAAATCCGTCGAAGTACTGTTAGACAACATAAATCGTGCGACTGGAAACAGCTGGTGTGACGTGTTCAATATCGCAAAATCTTCGACATACAAATTTTTAAAAAACGGTTGTTTTTTTAATTATTAAATTACATTTCTGGGAATCATAATTTAAATAGGTGGTTTCTTCTGTCACCCCAACGGCTCACGACCATTTGTCAAAGTAACGTGCAATCAAAATCGTACTCGTGAGTACAGTAAAGTGAACCAGAATATTAAGACAAAGTGAGCACTTCACAACGGAATCGCGTTCTTCATTCCTGAGGCAGCCCTTCCCACACAACGCAGCAGCAGACTCAACACGCAAACGCGTGGCACACCGCGCTCAGCAAAAAAGCATTTTTCCTCGTCGTCAGCTCGCCTCGACTCCGCTGCGGCTCTCGACTGTCTGGAGAACGTTGACCGCACAATTGTAACGGCTCCGTCGCCCTTGCTTCTCAACACACCAAGTCGCACGCCACGCGGCCAGTGAGGCTGAGCCAGGCGCCGTACGCACTAAAAGAGTGTCACCGGAACTGTGGAAAAACGTGTTAAAAATAAAAATATTAAAACAAATCGGTGGTAATGTTTCGATGTAGGAAATTGCGTTCGATGCGGCTTTTAGGTTAACAATCTGCGTAATCGGATCACCGAACAAACGAAAATCGCTAAACAGCTGAACGCTGTGTGGCGGCTGCAGCAACCAAACAAACGACGAAGTTCATTTGTTTTCGGATTACCGTGAGATTTGGCGCGAGAAGGGAAAAGAAAAGAAAGAAAGAGGGGGGGAAAGTGTGACGTCGAAGTGTGTGGTAGTGAAGTGATTTATAGGTTGGTGTGTGATTTCCGGAAAAGGTGTGTGATTCAAGAATGGTCGTAAGTGTTGGTTTGTGTGTGTGGAAGTTGTTTAGCTGTGCATCTTTTCCACTTTTGGATTCATCAAGAGATCTGTGGTACTGAAAGAAGAAGTGGAGTTATTCGACGGATATTTTCTCACGGAGCCACACCTCAGAGGTGAGTCCTCTTGTGCTTTATTTTCCACTAATAGTTATGATACTTTTGTATTATCTTCGGAATTAACACAAAACATTGAACTATTATGAATAACCATCCTCCCTATAAAATTGTTTTGACTTTTGTTCTTCTTACGAATCTCTTTTCTTTCTGGATAATACAATTCTCTACTTTATTTTCGAGACGTAGTTTATAAATGCACTTTGTCGGTCATCAATATCTCGACCGAGAATTGAAGGACGACGGTTATCCAGGAAGTCGTAAACATGGAAGGTAGTTAGGTTACTTCAGCACGTTCATTACAAAATTATGTAATGGTACGAGTCTACGTGTTTTCAATGTCGATGTAGGATAAGGACTTCTGAACTTCACTAGTTATTTGCAAATCGTACAGCTTTTAACCGGACACGTATAAAAACCCTCAAATTTTGAATTTGATTATAAATAAGGAAACAAGTATTTCCGAATTGTATGTAAAAAAAATAATTTACATTGATAAAGCATATAGTGTTGTAAGACAAGAGGATGGCATACATTTTTTTATATATATGTATCATGAGTATCAATCGAGCTTGTAACAAGAGTAAATATTACATTTCTTTTCAAAACACGTTGGCAGGAGTAATGCATTTAATTTGGTTGTAAATATTCGGTTTTGACGTTTTTGAGAGATGTACGAGGATATTTTTATGTGTGGTTTGTGGTTCTTGTGCACATGTATTAGTTTCTAAATTTACGATCGTGTCAGTAGGGAGGATGATATATGAGATTTTCGCAAACGTTTCATGAAATTTATGGTGAGGAATATTTACAACTATTTCTCTTTCTGAAATATATTCTTGGAAACCATGTGTTAATATACTACTGTTAATGTAGTTCATTGGGAAATGAACCAAACAGCAATGTTTTAAAAAGTACAAATGAAAGTAAAGTAAATAGAAAAAGGATGTAGCGATTCAACACAACTATAAGAATTTCTAAAATATGTTTCTTCGTTCTGTGTTTTCTCGTTAAATTTTGTATGGTGTATACAACATCGTTTGATGTCATGTGTTTCAAATCGTGTTTTGTTAATTTATTTGATGCAATGTTTATTATGTTCACCAAGAGTACGTTCTGCCAAAATATACAAATTGTATTCATTTATTGCTGGTTAATATTGATTCATGATGATGATTATATTTTTGTGAGGAATATAACCTAAACAGTATATATTTTATTTTGGAAACGTGTATTAAGCTTCCCCTCTGAAATTGTGTTCTTAATATTAATATTAATGTTGTGTTGACGAAACCCAATTTGAATCTGGTCCAGTACAATGTTCTACAGTAATTTCGAGTTGATGTCCAATATTGGACGCGTGTCTTCATTTCATTCGAAAGAAATCCCTTTTTGCAAGCTTGAAACAAGGACACTTTCTGCGGGTTCGTTAACCGTGAAACTCAAGAGCCAGAATATGTAGAGCAAGAAGTGCAGAGTTTTACTTTCCCCACGTCTTGCAGTAAATGAAATCTGCGTTGCGCTGCAGGTTTCAGCAATTTCTGTAACGCTGAATCATGCTCTCGTTGTAATGGGCATCTTTCTTGTCGCTAGCCACGAGAAGCCAACACGTTTCGTACAGACACGATAATTGGAAGTGATGTTTGATTAATGATATTTCGAACCATGTTAAAGAATTTTCTTCGTCGACACCATTTGGCGATTGGAATTTTCACAACAGTTTTTAAGAGGGTAAATGAAGGTTTTAGTATGCAAGTAATGTATGTCGTTGGTCTACACAAAATTCGCTGGTTCTTCAGAAATTCACAATAGTGTAGTTTTAAGTGATAAAACGAGAGGGAATGACTGGCTACGTAGTCTAAATCTCACCTGATGATATCAAATTGGTAGTTTATTCCATTTCGATTAGAGATAAATTGTCGGTTTTTATTTCTGTTTCTTCATCCAACTCTCGTTTCTGAAAGGAATACCTGTAAACGTTGAAATATACAAATTTCTTCTCTTTTCATTTCATGGTCGTATTTCTTAGTTTCATCTAGCATTTTCCTGGTCTACCTCATTCTTTCTGGTCAAGATTTGTCTTTTTAATTAATTTTTTTAAGAATACTGTGTTTTGGTCGCAATGTCTAACTAGTTATTTTTATTGTAATAAATCCATTCTGCTCTTCAATATCTTGAAAATTTTCTGAGTTTTTTTAATATTTTTGCAAACATAATTTCATCTAAAAGGTTTTTTTTCCCATATCTTACATCGCGAAGTCAGAGATGCAAAATTCTGAGTCTAGATGGTAATTGTGTCGTTGACAAAAATATGTACTGATCCATTTTATGAAATTACCACGAAGAGAAATGAAATAACTATGTAATAAATCGTTCAGAAATTGCCTCAATCGCCTTTCAAGGCTCTAAAAACAAGAAAAAATTATCCTGTTTAATGGATATCGCTTTTCATGAAACACGGTATATCAGCAAATGATCCCTCGTCCACGAAAGCTAAAGTATGCAGCCATCAGTTAGTGTGAAAGTCCCAGCATAAATTGTAGATTACGTGCTCGAGAGAGGTAGATTGTAATTTCTAATCAGCTTTGTTCCATCCCATTACTGCACTTCGAATCGATGAAAGCTTCTTTAATTTCTGTTGTAAGTATGCAGTGTTGCATTAGAAAGGTAAATTCCTTTCACAAAAAATATTTTAATTAACTTTGATAGGAATGATGATAAAATAACACGTTCATGACTATGAAAAACATGTATGTGGTATTCTTCGGTGTGATGAATTTCTTCATGCTACCGAATGCTGCTCTATTTTATACGTTGAGTTATTGTTAGTTATGACTGGAGGCGGATTTTAATGACCTAAAACATTGCCAAAAATGGTCTATAAAATGCTCTTAAATGCTTTACAAATGCCCTGAAAACAAAGAAAAATGACGTAAAAAATGTATTAAAACCACTTCAGATGAACAACTCGAGCTGTTGGATATGTTACTGATGTAATCAATTCTTTTTCTTTTTATTCAAGTGAAATCAGCTCGCAAACTTTTGGTTTGGACTGTTCTTTAAAAGAATATATGTGCCTTTATTTATCGCAAAATCGGCCGAAATGACAATGATGCGGATTAGTGTCAAAGAAACCTTAGATTACATACTACTCACATCGGTTAACATTACAGTATATGACCGAAGAAATCGAATACGCTACTCAGCAATTCTGTGGTGAACATTTGTTGCACCTCGTAAATATTGTTTGTGCCATTAAAATGATGTTAAAATCGATGAAATCAGTGAAAAAGTTAAAAATGACTTATTGAAATCGACGAAAACTGCAAAAAATGTCTAACAAAAATGGTTAATTCCTCTTGTCATAACATAAAATGAATTTCTGTAGTACACGGCACTGTCTTGGGAGTGAAAAGAAAAAAATTACATTTCATAAACATCCGCCCGCTAGTTGTAACATATTCAGTAGATATATTAAATCAGTTAGAGGTTATTATATAATGAGACATTTTTTATATATTATAGAAAATGAGTAAGCTGTTCATATGTGTCATGGGTTTCGGGAAGAGAATAATGCTTCATGATCATCCTCTGCTTGGTTGCACTACTGGGTATCCTGGATTTGTGCAAAAAAACCCATGAAGCAGGATTGAAAATTCTTTCACACATAATACCATTAAAATAATAAAATAATCCGTCTGGTGTGTACCAACCTGTTCAGCCATATTCGATTGTTACGCGCCGGAATACTAGTCCTTACTTATAAAGGATTATTTTGTTGATTTGCTCCTGTACATAGAACCAAATATTCTACATTTTGATTAGATACAACAAAGAAATTTCTTAGAAAAAAGTTTTATATCTTCTCTAGCCTTGAAAGATGGGTGCCAGATGGGGAAGACTGAGCGACGAAAAGAGAGAAAATATTTGTGGAGGGAAGAAAGATAGAGAGGGAGAGAGGGGGCAGTGAAGTGGAAGAGTTAAAAGGAGAAAGAGAAAATGGAGGGTGAGGGAGAAAGAGAAGAGTAGAGGGAGAAAGAGACGAGTAGAGGGAGAAAGAGACGAGTAGAGGGAGAAAGAAAGAGACAGTAGAGGAAGGGTGGGAGGGAGGGAGAAAGAGAGGAAGAGGGGAAGATAGGATAGAAAAACAGAGGCAGGAAGGGAAAGAGAGGACGTAAAGGGAGGACGGGATGAAGGAAGGGACCCAGGAAGGGATGGAGGTAGGAAGGTAGGGAAGGTGGGACAAGGGCTAGGGATTAGGGTCGCGGTGCGAGTAATATAGAGTTGCGAAAGGGGCGCCGCAAGCGGTCAAAAGCGCGCCGCGCGTCCCCGCGGAGCGCGAATCGCCGGCGGTGGCCGCCGCGCGCGTTGATTTCCCCGTTGGCGTGTGGCGGGGCGGCTTCGGGCAACGCGCTGGCGCCGGCGCAGCGCTGGCTTTGCATAACGAGCTCTCTCGCCCCGCACGCCCCGCGCCGAATGCACCCCGCTTCGCACGCAACGCCCGGACGCCGCATACCTCGCTCGCTCCCTCGCTCGCTCGCTCGCACCGACCGCAGCCAACTACGACCCACCGCCTCGGCATCCGCTGCCTGCCGCCCACATTCACTCACTCACTCCCGTCACGTTACTCATTCCTCATACACTCTTTCCACCACACAAACTCATACACTCTCCACTCAGCCAATCATACACTCTTCCAACCCAAACTAGTCTCACTGCTTCACACACAAACTTAATCTCATCTATCCACCCACAAATATCTCCTTTCCACGCTCACAAACTTATCTGCAAGCTCTTCCCACGCCAAAACTATCTCACTCTTCCAGCCACAACTATCTCACTCTTCACGCCACACACACTATCTAACCCTTCCACGCCACAACTATCTCACTCTTTCCACCTCACAAACTATGCTCACTCTTCTCCCACAAACTATCTCACTCTTTCCACCCAAAACTATCTACTCTTGCCACCCACAAACTATCTCACTTTCCCACCACGCAAACTATCTGCACTCTTTCCACCCATAAAAAACAAACTATTCATCTCCACGCACAAACTGTCTCACTCTTCCACCCACAAACTATGCTCTCACTCTTCGCATCCCACAAACGTATCTTCACTCTTCACCCACACACTATCTACCCCCTTCCACCCACAAACTATTCACTCCCCCATTAACTCCGGTACTCGCCCACCACACGCAATCAACTCAACTTACCCACACTCGCAGACACAACTTACTCACCTACCCAGCACCCACCCACTCCATCTCAATTCATTCATCTCTTTCACTCATTTCAGCCACCATACCACCACTCTATCGTATCCAGCCATTCCGGCACCACTGACCCCCTCTTTCACTCCTACAAACACACACACACACACACACACTAGCACACTCTCGTGTTCTCGCACCCCCGAGCCACTCATGCGCCTCTCCCCGCCCAACCGTCCGCGACGCCCGGCTCCCTGCTCGCCCCGGTCCGGCGCGGCGCGCTCCGTCGACGCGTTGCCACATGGCGGCAGCTTTCCCCACGCGAGCGCCACGTAACGCTCCGCGCCGTCTGGCCCCGAACCCGCGACCCTTCACCAGGCCCGGCCCGCTCGCCGGGTCTTGCATTAGGCCCGGGAGTAGAAACGATGCAGTTGATGTATTTGTTTGTGGGTGGAGTATTAATATTTAAATTTATTACATATAAAATAGTACCAGTTGGGGTGAGCTGATTTTGTATCACTCAAACGGACAAACTATAATATATGCAGAACTACCTGATGCATAGTTTATAGTGCATCCCCCGTTTTAAAATTTCTAACGTATATAATGATTTCTGGAAACATAAATGACGATTGATATTAATTTGGGGTAGTAAACAGTAAATGCGTAACACCTGTAAAACAAGTGTGCATTTCACTGTAAGTTTATTTTGATCTTGTTTTTGTACTTGTTTGTGTTTTTGCGGTGATGAAATAAGAGGCAAATACCAATAAATGAAGTTTATATTTTATTGTTACTTTACGTTATTTTATAACTGTTTGTGTGTTGTAATTAAATTTGAGTTTTCAATGATTATTTCGATACGCTGAATAATCGTTCTCGGTTTTCCTATTTTATTCGAATTAATGAAAAACACTTAAATGCGTTTCATATTGATTTTCAAGATTTTTAACATGCTTTTTTCAACTATGTGTTTTTTGGAGGGGGCAAATTTAGTCAATCACGCGTAAGGTAAATATGTGTTTTGTCTCTTTTTACTGCGTGGTCGTATAGCGACTACTATGATTTTTAACATTAGGGTAACTGAAAGGGAAAGACATAAAGACAACATGAATACACACAAACATCCATGCTCGGGGCGGGATTCGAACCCGCGACCCTTCAAGATGAAGATTGCTGACACGCTGACAGGGGTGCAGTGACGATCTATGGCCCGAGGGGTCGCGGTTCTATTCCTGCTTATGCATGGTTATTTACTTGTGTGTTGTGGCATGGCTCTCCTATCCATCATGCAGCTTCGCCTTTCAACCATACGCATCCTTTTCTTTGTTGCCTGAATGGTATATGAGCATATATGGCTCAATAATGCGTTGCACCTAGGCGGCGTTGTTGTGTTCTCGCGTGTTTTGTCACGATGGTGCAGACCCAATCGCAGCCCTTATCTTTCCTCATCAGGCCAATACCCTCGTCCATACGCCTCTAGACCAGCCGAGATAGCCCTACCCGAATGTATGGCAAATCACAGGCAAACCGGTTGCACAAATCACACACATGACGGTTTTGGTACACAAAAAAGTTTATTTACATGTACACACGTGAGCCGCACCGTTTACTGCCGGAGCATTCGTTGCCCGTTAGCATCCGCCGACTACCGAACACACTGTTCGACATGAGCCCGGCCCTCATACCCGCAAGCTTACGGTCTCCAACGCACACTGGCGTCCTTGTGACGGATTCTGGGCACAATGGTTCCCTTTTGCTGGGTCCACCCGCCCTCAGGGGCTCGCTGTGACCACTTCGCCACCCCGTGGTCCCAAGCGCGTGGTCTTGGACACAGCTGGGGCCAACATGGCACATACCCTCTAAGTCAGAGCCCTCTTCCCTACGCATTCCACTCGTGCCCACTTTGGAAGTGTCTACGCTGCCCCGCTAGGTATTGAGTAGCAGACGTCGCGTACACTGCATCAACTGATGCCACTGCGCAGCCTCTGAGCGGGAGGGCCTAGAGTTTCGAGTCTCGACGGCGTACAAAGGACGTTTTTACAAGTAAACGTGCAGTTCCAAATTAAGATTGTTAACAGAAACAAACGTGCGTATACGTACACTCCCGTGATTTTGGGAATGAAGAGTAGCTAATTATCCTTTCTGTTCAAAACGGAGCATCAAAACTAAAGAGGACCTCTAATTGCAGTTTATTCAAATCGCAGGGAACCCGACCGGCCGGTCATTCACCGCTCGCTGCCGTGATCCGACCTTCTTGGGTCAGCATCACGGTTTCTCCTGCTCAGGGCCCCCTATAAAACGTTATGACGTAACGCTCACTTCGTCAAACGATTCTAAGCCTTCTGTGTGTCGGGTTTATCACCCCTTTTACTCCCGTTTCATGGCTTAGGCACGGGGGTTATAATATTTAGACCAGATTGAAAAGGCTTAATTTCAGAACCGGGCATTATGAAAACTCGTAAAGTTTCAAGCACCGTATTGAAGATTATCCATGAAAACACAGAAAACGCGTGTTTTAATGGGACACTTCAAGAACGGTGATAACTGAAGTTTATGCTTGACGAGGCTCGCTCTGGTTTATACAATATTATCCTTCCATAATAGGAAGGCTATTGGTAATAAAAGGCGAGTTATCTCGACTCGTAACGTGGGTGTGGTGATGGAATAGTCTATTTCTGTGCTCCAAAAACATCAATTATACAAAGTATTTCTGCCATAGCAGAAACTCTTAGGTTGTACTTTCAAGAGGAGTGTATTTCGCTTTTGAAAACATGTGTGTCGAGGGTAAGTGACTTTTGTGGGGGGTATCAGTATTTTCATCCTGAATACGTTTTTACACCCAGGACTATTAGTCCTGGGGGATGAGGAGAGGAGATGAGATGAGAAATGATAATGATGATGAAGGATGAAATGGACAATCACAGACGTACAGAGACCCACACACAAACACATGTCCGAAGCGGGACTCGAAATCAGGCTAATCCGACAAGATTTTTGTACCTCATGAATCTTTCAAAAATGAACATATTTTGTAATCCTTCATATTACGAGTATATTGATGATAATAAAGAATTTTGAAGATATTTTATCTGGAGGACACCGGTAAAGACAATAATTGCCACAATCGTAATGCAGAATAGTGTTCACTGGAATTTAATCAGAATAGCTAATACTTGAAATAAATTATGGAATATGGTATTTGTACGTACAGTTATATATTTTAAATGATTAGAAATGTAAAAAAGGTATCTGCTCTTCCAGTAGAGAAGTAATATATGAACATTGAAAACTTTATTGGAATACGAGGGTCTCGAATGACTGGAAGGTTTCGGGTTTTGTCATCTCATAGTTTTTAAATTTTTACTAATGAAATTATTTATCATGTTTTATGTTTTAGAGAATATAATGTCTCAACGATTTTTAAAAAACGACCGTAGTGATACCTTTTCAACATTTACTATGCAATAATTAGATATCTACGTACCGAACTTCCACAATAAACGCATATACGTTGCTAGTTTTCACTGCCTTTTAGTTGTTCAGCTGGTGTTTGTTAGATTAAGAGGGTGAGCTATGAACGAAACAATGAGAAAATCTTTTTAAAAAAGTAGTACATTAGATTTTTTTGAAGATTTTGTGCTGTTGTTTAATCATATAATAAAATCATGATAACAAAAAACATTGTTTCCAGAAGCAAAATAATAGATTGTAATTGACCTAAAGTTCTCTTTCATTATTGTGAATGGTATGTAATTACGCAAGATAAACTAATGTGTAATTTATTATTAATTGTTTTGTAGATACGCGAGTAAAAACTATAAATAAAATTCATTAATATTTTTCTTCTTTACAATCAACGGAATCATGACATTCACTTCACCATAAGTCACCGGTGCGTATTCGGATAATAACACCCAATGGACTCCTAGATCGCTATTGCTCCCACCTTGCAAATGCCTACATCTACGCTGTTGGGAACCCCTGATCTTGAGAGAGGAATTGGTTTTAGATTTCGTTTTCTAACTCGTTTGTGCTTCCCGTTTCCTCCCTGCCCGGCTGGCTGTGGTAGCTGCGACCTTCTAGCGGACGTGAGGAAGGTAGTTATATTTCTCGACCTGTAACGCGGCCGTATCTTTATGGCTGCATTGAAATAACTCTTTATGCAACTCTCATAATTCGCCACGGTAGTCGTTTAATTCTATTGAACTGTTCAGATATTGCTCCGAACATTGAAACAGTTTGGTAAGACATTTCTATTAGAGTTAAGCATTAGTCTTACAATATTTGTGGACATAGATGTTGATGTTTTTTAGAAACATCGATGTTTTTTTCTTTACCGAGGTTTTACTTCTGAATGAAAAAGTCCCATAATATCAATACTATAAAATTTAAAATATGAAATAACTTATGGTAACACTGTTATTCATGTGTTGGATCCAAAAGGAACGCTGTTTGCACTACCTTCATCGACCAAACTCTCTTTCCCGACATGACATGCATGCCCTTGTATTTCCTCTTCCTTCATATTTACTTCGCACATTGAGATAAGGTCAACAAATACACTTTGCCCCTCTTTCTCGAACCCTTAATCAGCGAATTGATTAAAATGAACACTGTCAAATTAAACTTTTAATTCTCACGAATTTAATGTGAGAGGTTACTAATCCAGTCTAAAATCATCGATGTTGTAAACCCCGATGGTGTTTTGTCGATGTATTTTGAACATCGAGGTTTTGTTATCGATATCGCATCACTAGTTGACAGGACTGCACTGCCGTGACGTAGACAGAACCCGCCGCTTCCCGCATCCCCTGCTGTGGAGTATCAAGAAAAAGCGGGCGATTAATGCACGCCTCATGATCCCATGTGTCTTCGTTCACGACAGTTTCCCCCGCAGTTCCGTTGGCGACTGAATTCCTGCCAGAGGCGCTGCCTCCGCAGATCGTCGGCCGGTCGGTTGTTCGGGCGGCAAAGGGAGAAGGCGGGAGGAGCGGGCTGTGCGATGTGGAGGAGGCCGTGGGAAGGCGGCGTCGCGGGCGCGCTGCTCGCTTGTTCGCCCGTGCGTGCGTGGCGCCGGAAGCCCGTTCGCGTGTACCGGAAGCGGCGCCGCGTCGACGCGCTGAGGCAGTCGCGGCGGAGTCGTCGCTTGTTTTTTTTTTACGTTATTGCTTTCTTGTTGTTTTTTTTCTTCTTGTGTCCGCGTAGACGCGGCTCGGTTGCTCGGGGGGGGGGACGAGTCGGCGGGGGTTGTTGTGTGTCGTGGGGTCACTGAGCGGGCAGGTAGCCAGGGAGTGGGTTGCGATGTGATAGGTTTCTTCCGGGCAAACGACGAGAAGCTTTCCTCCTCCCCCCCCCCTCCAAAAAAAAGAAAAAAAGTAAGGGGTATAATCAGCCGAGGGATTCGAATACACGACCCTTTGCTGCCTTCTAACGTTCCTGCCATCTGCATACGTGACACGGTATTAGAATTTGTATTTACACATTTATTATTATTTGTGTAATTGTTCATTAGTTTTCAAGTTTGATTCACCTGTGACTCAGATAATATTCTTTCAAATTCTTTCTACATGGGAAAGTTGGCGTATTAATATGTTATTTTCGCTTTTCTTTCTGGGCAGACTTTAGCAACGTCATTGCTTCTGTGAGTGCGTCGTTGGCGTTGCTCTATGCTAAAGATTCACTGCTCGGGTAGAGGATCGTAGATTTTTTGCGTACGGCCTCTGATAAACTCCTGTGTAGAAGAACTACGTGGTACAGTAAGGTCAAATGCCCAATCAAAGAATATTGGAATCCATGGCTCATCGTACATTTTTTAGTCACCTTGTGATAGCGGCGTATAAAAGGCAAAACCTTGGATTCTGTGGCTCATCCATCTTTTTTTTTCTCACCTTGTGTAGAAAAGACAAATACCTACGAACTTCGTGTCTAAATCATCATTGGTTATTTCATAATTGTTCGCTTAGGTCAAGAACTATTTTTTTTGCTTGATTGCCATCATTCCATGTTACTCTGCAATCTGGATATCCGTAATCGGATATGCGAAATGGAAAATTTCCAATATCCTATTTTTCCTAGAAAACGTGGTTCTTATTAAGAATAACGATTACCTTGTTCATGCACGCATCGAAGTCTCTACATAACTAAACTAAAAATTGTAATCATTATTTCCAGATATTAAAGAATTTCAGATGCGAAATGCCAGTACAATAGACATTACTTCGTTGTTTGAATTGCGTGCGCATTTTAGTGAACCGGCGAACTGCATTCGCAGCGTGTGATTAACGTCGCTGAAAGAGGCCAGTTGCGAAGGAGCATTGCGGGAGGAAGGGGGAGGTTGGGCGTGCTCCACTGCCGGCCGGTTGCGTGAGCGCTCCTTGCTAGGCAGACGGATTGAAGCTGCGTCGTTTGTTTGGAATGTTAATGGGGGGAAGAAAGATTTTAAATATTTTGTCTTGAGGTTTGGTTAACGGACTTGACTTCTACTTGCCCTCGTTTGAGAAAACCGGTAGTTCAAAGTAAAGAAATTCGAGATATCAGGTAATTTCAACGACAAAAATTCGAGTTATCTCGAATTTGAGGTATAGAAATTTGAGATATCGGGAGTTCGGGTTACAGAAATTCGATAACATACGACATTGAAATGACGGACATCTGATATGAATTACAGAAATAGAAAAAAAAATCAAATTACAGAAATTGGAGATTTCAGAGGTTCCGATTCTAGGAAAGATTTATGTATCAAGCATTCCGTTTCAGAAATTTGAGGCAT